GTGGGAGAAATGGGCACAAGGCTCTCTGATCTCTGAACAGAAAGGACAGGCCTGAATACCTCATGCTCTGCAGTGCCCTAGTCTCCCTGTGCACAGGTATGAACAGACAGAGAGCCACCCTGTACACAGACCGGTTCAGAGAAGAAAGTAGGGGGACCAATCATCCTGGCTCGCTGGGGCTGAGGAGGTGCTCCTGTAGGTTTTCCATTTTGAAACAGGCAAAGTTCTGGACAAACTGGAAGAAACTAATCATCCCAGAGAAATATTCTTTGGTTTTCCAGTAAAGTACACTTAAAATTTGGGGAGGATGTACTATAAATCAAATGGTCCATTAAAATAATGAACAAGCAGTTAAAGATACATTTCATTATTTAAAAGGACAAATAATAATATGGTAATATGATGTTTGTATGAAAACCAAAAGACTCAAGTTGATAAGTAAAACATTTAACATCCATTAAACCCAACACCAGTAACTTAATTTCAGCAAAACATCATCTGTTGCATTCAAGTTTGTTAATTTGTATTTTACTGTTATAGTTCTATCTCCATTTAATCTGTAATTTTGTTTAGGTTGCAGAAGACATGAATTTATAGCAAGAATTTTACATTTGTATATATGTAAGTAACAATAAAATTTGGGCAAGCACTGAGGCTTCAGGAGAATTAATTTTCCTTTAAAAGAGATCTATACATTCCTTATGTTTAAAAAAATTCGTGACAACAATTCCAGGAGGTAGTTAGCATTATCCCCATTTTATAACTGAAGAATCTGAGACTACAGGTCATGTAGCAAGTCACTAGTGAAGCGGAAACTTGCACCCAGAGTAGCCTAAATTTAAAGCCTGTGCTGCCTCATTGGGAGCAGGGAAAGATGGTCCACTGTGACCTCCTGGTTGGGTGGGGGTGAGGGCCTCTGAAAGCCAGAAGGCAACCTGAGGCTTTGTAGTTTTCAAAAGGCAGCAGGGCTAGGGGAAAAAAAGGGTGATGTGGGCTCAGAAAGTGAGGTGGGACAAAAAACTTGGTCAAAGGCCCTTCGATTGGCCCATAGGCACCTGAAGATTCATTTATTCCTATGTACAAAGCCCTGTGCTGGGAGCTAAGGATACACAAATAACTAAGATCACACCCTCCCTGTCTTGAAGAAGTTCATGGTCTGGCCAGTACTTTAAAGGATGTCTGCCCATGAGAGGACTAATTTGAAAGTCTGCACGTCCCCACATCCACTCCTACCTATGTTCAGCAAAAGTGATTCCTAGCCAGCCTTTTCTAAGCGATGTCCTCCCAAATTCTGCCCTTCCTCTGAAAGAAAACAGAAAGTACAGGAAAAAGAAAAATGGAGCAACAGCAAAGAGATCTATTTGGTTACCCATTCAAGAAATATCCGTGGCATACCTGCTATAATAACGAAGCTATGCTGGGTGTTGTGGGTCATAAGTGATCCAGTTCTTGCCCTTGAAGAATTCTTATTAATAATAACAACGGCTACAAACACTTAGACAATGCTTACACAGGCCAGGCACCATTCTAAGTGCTCTATGTCTGTTAACTCATTTAATCCTCACAACAGCTCCATGACAGCGGTATTATTATTACTTTCATTTAACTGAGCCATACAAAAGTGAAGTAATTCTTCCAAGATCACACACTGGTGAGGGTAAGGCCAGGACTGGCACCCAAGCAGTCTGGCTCCAGAGGCCACCATGCTTTTACTTATTACACTATAGTAGAGCCTAAACACTGGCCTTAAGGTAGTAAGATTTACTTTAGAGGCTGCACCAACACTAGATTCCCTGACCCCTATCCTAGCTCTCAGCAGGATGCTTGAAGTCAGGCATAAGTTCAAATCTAAGCCTGAGAGCAAGACTCAGCCTCAGTTTTCATGTCTGTAAAATGGTCATAATAAAAATTGGGCTGCCTAGCTGGTGTGGCTCAGTTGGTAGGAGTGTTTCATAACTGAAAGGTTGCGGGTTTGATTCCCAGCCAGGGCGGCATGCCTGGGTTGCAGGTTCAGTTTCCAGTCTGGGAGCGTATAATCCCTGGTCCAGGCCCATATGGGAGACAACTGATTGTTGTCTCTCTCACATCAATTTTTCTCTCCCTTCCTCTCTCTTTAAAAGCAATGAAAAACGTCCTCGGAAGAGGATTAAAAAATATAAAATAAATAAAAACTGGACTATGTTTTCAGATTAAACGAAATAACATATACATAGCTGGCCCTTAGTAAATTGGAATTCACTTCCTATTGTCAAACCTAGCTCTCTCTTCCTGGTTCAGTTCAGTGTCTTCCCAGCCACTCTCCCTGCCCATTTCTCCACTGGGAGAAAGATGCAGGGGGAAAGGGGGAAATGAAGGGCAGGAGCGACGGCTTCGCTTATCTTGCTGGCACTCCACTCTCTGAAACTTTGGACATGTCCTTGGAGGCTCCTGAAGGTCTGCCCTGTCCTGCATTTGCAGGAAAGAAATTTCTAATTTAGAATATAGACGAGACAGGTGAATGGGAGGTTGCTGAACTAAGAAAATGTACACAGGACATATGGTCAGTAACCTGTACTATTTCCTCAGACAACTGAGAGAGAGGAAAAAACAGAAAATTTAGTGACATTTTTGTTCTAAATGCTCACATATCAAGATTCTACTTTACCCTGTGTTTTCGTAAACACTCCAGACATGTCGAATAAAATATCTTGACTTTAAAACAGAAAAAGGATTGACTGGGGTATGTGTGTTTTTGAGAGTGGGAGTGAAGGGATGGGAGTAATTCAGGAAAAAAAAGAGTATTAAGTTTAAAGCAGTTACTGTCTGCCTTTCTCCCTCCCTCCTCCCATTCCCTGGAAGATGGGGTTCACAGCGAGACACTTCTGGGAAGATGAATCCAGTCCACCCCCAACCCCGCTCTATTGAAAGTCATTGATTTAAAAGCTATTGTTTTAGAAAGGACTTTCAGTTTAAAAGACTGCTAGAATCATATGTTAACATCTATGTGTAAAAATTATGTGCTAACAAGAACAATTCTTTTATGTAATCACTTATTGATAGATAATACAAATGCAAGTGGAAACTACTGAAATATCACTGTATACATTCTTTTAAAGTAAAAGGAAAAATCTTCTAATGACCCCTTGTGATTGTAAGACTGAAAAGAGGGCTCTGTGAATTCCATTGGTAGCACTGTAAATTGGTACATCTTTCAGAAGGCTCATGTCGATATAACGTGAGAGTCTAAAGATGTTTCTACTCTGACAATTCTACTAACAAAAAATCACTCAAAGGAAATTATTCAACAGAAATAAAATGGATACAAAGACTACCATAGAATCACTTATTAAAAGCAAAACAAGAAAACAATCTGAACATCCTATGACGGGCCTCCATCGTACCATATTTTTTTGTTTTAGTGCTCATTGCATTTTAATGGTTTGTTGGACAACTGTCTCCTCACAAGAGCATGTATTCCATGAGCACAAGGGTTGTCTCTGTCTAGATCCTTGGCACATAATAAATGTAAGATGTAGGAATTAATAACAGATAGTGAAATATTTTTATATAATGTTAAGTAAAAATAACACTATATATATGATAAAACTGAAACTATATATATACACATGGAAATGATTATACAAAAATGAAAGTAGTTATATATGAGGGCAGAGGAATTTAAACATTCTTTTAAGTTGTTTTAGTGCCTCTGAAATGTAAAAAGAAGGAACATATTTGCTGTTATATACACCAGCTATGACTTCATAGTAGAACTAGAGCAGCAATTATTAATGCTGGAAGAGTCGCCCCCAGTTCCACAGGCACTTGGGTATTCATTTTTTGCTCAAGGGTGGAAAGACTCAAAATACTCATATATCATAGGTAGCATAATCCTATTTTTAGTAAAAATCCAAAACAAAGGCAGTATGTTTTAAAGAGACAGGTAGAAAAGTCCTCTAAAGCAACCTCTTTTGGGTAGTGAATTTGCTGGTTACTAACAGCAGGGGGTGCCAAAGGGACCGCTTTTGTTCCCAGGAGATGGCAGGAGAGGGGCTGCCGCCACCTTGGTTAGGAAAGCTTAGGCTATGCTGAGAAAACACTGCCGGTTTTCCCCTAACAATGCGGACCTAGGGAAAAACTCTGGCCCTCTGTAGGTTCGAATAGATAAAAATCACATTTTTATTTTCATTAACTTCTGATATTTAGCATTTCCTTGAATTATAGTCAACAAATCACAGTAGTATTAGCAGTACTGGTGACTTGTCATGAACAGAAATCATGGATATAACGATAGCACATTGCAGTTGGTGCAGATGTCTCCAATATCACTTAAACTCAATCACTGCTTTGAAACCAAATTTCAGGAGTTACTGACAGACCCGCTACTGGCTCTTACTACTCAATGTATTAATAAAACTGTGCATATTATACTATCACAACTTTGTTTAATAATTTGGTAACTTTAAATATAACAAGTTCTTTTGTAATCCTGTGAATTTTATTTTCTGCATTTACAAACACTTTCATGAGAAGGGCTTTTATATGCTTTTGCCAGACTGCCAAAGGCACAGGAAAGGTTAGGAGCCTCTGCTCAGTCTAAAGGAAGGCAACCGAGAGGAAAAATCAAATTGGGTCTGTACAAAGCTGGAGAGAAAAAGAAGCATGTTAAGCCACCAGAGAGAAGTGGCTGTGAGGCCCATTTTCATTTAGTTTGGATTCTTTGAAGAGAATTTTTCCTTCACAGACTCCAAAGTACCCCAATATGTCCAGAAGCCTGGTTCATAGATAGGACATTCAGAGATCTACCTAATTTGCTACTACAAAGCAGTCTGTATTTACTGCAGGTACAGAGGCATGAAATACAATGTGAATATTGTCCCCAACATCTCTCTGGAAGTAATCATTACATGTAGACTCTCCAGATACCAAATATTCATTTGATGAACAAAACCAAAATCAAATCCAAAAATGACACAGAAGGTAGAGGTGAGATATTGCAATAAGTAACAGTCAATACTCACATTCGAACGAAGAGAGACTCTTTGGATGTCAGACCAGGAGATGAATACTTTTCAACCAGGGCCAAAGTACTGAAGCCAAACTTATGAATGGGCTCATTGGAATCCAGTGGGGGGAAATCTGTGTCAACCTCCCCATCATCCTCAGCAATATGCAGGCAGTAGGCATTGACATTATCACTGAAAGGAAAACCAAAAAGGTAAGTGAATACCAAGCTGAGAAAGGAACACAGGGACCAGAGGCCCTGATGTACAGCAAGCAAACTTGCAGTACTGCCATTCTTTACCCCAAAGCCTGTAGAGCGATACAGTTAGATCCCTCAAATCCTACCTCATTTGGTCAGGAGGAATACATGGCAATGCAAAGGGGGAAGAAACCCAATGTGAAACAAGAGCCTTTATACTACTCTGTTCTTCCAACAAATATTTACTGAGCACTTATTGTAGATAAGACACAGAACCTCTTAGATCAAAGATGAGATTTAGTATCAATTCTCAAGGAAGCTTATAATAAAGTAGGTGGTAAAAGTAGGCACAATATTAGCTATAGTATAAATGTAAATAAATATCATAAAAGAGATACACAAAATGATAAAGGAGAAAAAATTACTTGGGGGAAATCAGTGGACTTTGATTTATAGTTAGGATAAAGAAAATACCTGCTCTAGCTCTGGAGCAGTACTTACGATAACAAAGACAATCAATACAGTTCTCCTTTCTCTGAAGAAAATCAGCTTCATTTGGCAGGATCTGATTCCAAACACCAAGAATACTTAACAGAATAAAGCAAATGATCTGATTTATCCTGATCAACTACTGATGGACTTTTCTCACTTCCCTAGAATGTCTAGTCAGTAATTCCAGATTCTAGCCTAGTCCAGTTTAAAATCAATACACACCTCCTCCTTCTTCTTCTTTGGGGAGGTAAAAAGTCAATTTGCTGGAAAAGGGCGGGAAACTGTATCAACATCAGACAATTTAAAGCTGAAATCAACCTAAAACACTTCAGATACCCTGCTCCAAAGTTGAATTGTGAAAGTGTAAATCTGCTAGTATTGAGAAGCATGAATCTAACAGTTCGCAAGCCAGTGGGATTCTAAATTCTGTAGCTTAAATTTGGAGTTTTAATTATATGATTGATGCTTAAATTAATTAATTGCAAAGTGTATGCTAATTGTTTAATTGGTTGCTTGATCTATATAGATCATTTTTTGAATTAAATGAGTTGATTTACAAAGTTTATTGATTGGATGTGACAATGAATTATTTCACTGACTACCTGATTTGCAATTTTCCCAATTAATTCACAAATCTTTTGCTGCAATTCTGCTTATTGAGAGAGAGCCTACTTCAGGTGATCTATACTCAGTCTGTCACGATTAAGAGATATTTATTATATAAAACAGGTAATAAGGACAGATTAAAATTAATGGGAGCTGTAAATCTGCTAAATGGATGGATAACAAGAAAGTAATCTGGCTATGTTTGTCACAATAAATTTCATGAATTTGCAATGCTATTAAGAAATTTAAAATTCATCTCTGAATGGTATGGGAAACTTATAGATCTTTGCAAGAGGTTGCTAACTTAAACACAAAACACTGTAGAAGCAGGGGAAAGCCATTTAGACCAATAAAATGTGATGGTGTACTAGTCAAGAGCTTTGTGTCCAGAAAGACTTGAGTTAAACGCTAAGCTCCATCACTCATGGGCCATGTGGTTTCAGAGAGTAAGTTTCACCTCCTTGAGTTTCAGTTTTCACTTCTAAAAAATAGGGTATAATCACCTAACTCAGGCGTGGTTGTCAGGATTAGATGAGATTATATATAGTGCTGAGCATAGAACAGATGTAAAAAAATAAATGGTATGGTACCTATAATAAAGTCAAGTGGAAAATAACTTTGGTAGTTAGTTATAGCAACCCTTAAAGAAAAATTGTGGATGCATACGAGGAAGAAAGCAACAATGCAACACAGTGACATGTTCTACGTGCACACATCTGTGACTAGATTCACACGGCCACTGCGCTCCAGTCATGGGGCCATGGAGCCCCTGGGGTTCTATGAACAGGGCAGACCCTGACGAAGCGTGCAAAGGAGAGCACGGACTATTCACTGCTGTGTAAACCATCGTGACGTATGCCTGTGATTCCCCAAAGTCGCAGAGGTTTCAAGGGCAAATAGTAAGCTTATTGATCAAAGCAGAAAGCCAAAAATGGGTATCAGAAGAATTTTGATTACCCACCGATTGTCATGGGACACCCCCAAATCCCCTCAAAACAAACTCAACAAATGTCACAGGTTAAGATCTGAGAGCCAAAAGACTCACTGGCAAGTGCTCTTATTCTCCCCAGGTCTTGAATACAAAGTGTGAAATCATTTATTCTTGCAGGAAATATTTGCAAAGGGCCCGCCCTTGGGCTCTTGCCTGTCCTGAGCTGGAGAACACAGCAAGGAGAATGAGCCACTCACTCTATATTAGACAAAACCAGTGGAAGTCCTTTTCTGGGTTATCAGTAAGGTTTAACAGCAAATAGTGTTCCACATCCTAAAAACTCTTAATTAAATGCCTAAAAAGGAAATGACTAAGATTCCATAATCTGTGCAGGGACATACTGGTTCCTTTGTGCCTTTAAAAAGGAAGGATTAATAGAAGAAGGTACTGTGGTATTCTGACTTCTAAAACTGCTTCAGGACTCTAAATCAGTACTAGTACAGTAATCATTAGTATCCTTAGCTACATTTATTGAGCGCCATGTGCCAGACACTGTGCCAAGTGGTTTAGACACATTAGCTCACTGAATCTTCCTATTAGCTTAGTCACTTATTATTATGTCTATTTTACAAATTAGAAAACTGAGACTCAGTGAGGTTAAGTGGTTTGCTCAAGATTAAATGGGATGTAAGTGACAGAGCTGAGATTCAAAGCCAGGTAGTCAAGAACCCTCATTCTTGACCCCCACCTATCTCTGCCAAAGCCACGGTATGTTCCGATGGAAATGTTACATACTTGGAAAAAGAGAAAACCATGACACATTGCTTATAAGAAATTAGAAGCTTGAGAGATTTATTTCTACATCCTTGTTTTTACAGATGGGAAATAGATGCCTAGAAAAGAAGAATAACATGCCCACAATCACCCAGTTAAATAGGGTCAAAGACAGTTCTAGGGAACTGTCTAAGAGACAGTTCTTAGGTCTCTTTGCTTCTGCTTCATTACTCTTTGATCAAGTCAGAAGTTGGTAGCGTTTTGAAGTGGCGAGAGAAAAAGGGGCAGATGTGGTCCCTGACTCAGGAATTCGCCAAATATAGACATCTGGAACTTACAAAACAGCGAAAACAAGGGCCTCTTTATGACATAGCTCAGTGGAATGACGACAGGTTTTGCCGTCAGATCTGGTTTTAATGCTAACTCAACCATTAACCAGCTGTGTGACCAAATTTCTCTGTACTCTATTTCTTATCTATAAATAGCTTTCCTTGATTTTTCTAGGACAATCATTTGCAAAAGTGATTCTCCTGTGTGGTCTTACAGAACTTGGTTAATATTTGTGCATATAACTCTTGCACATTGCTTATTTTCTTATTTATGTATCTATGTTCTAAAGAGCAGGATCCTTCTACTGTCTGCATCCTTACTGAAGAGTAAACGGCTGGCATTTAGAAGATAGTTAACAAGTATTTGTTGAATGAATGAATATATGCATGCGTAGATTGAATCACACTACCTATATAAATAAGGTTATTATTAAAAATGTGTGTTTTAATGGGAAAAGGAGAAGTAATAAACTTTTCTTTTTTTCTTTTTAAATTGGTTTTAGAAAGAGAGGAAGGGGATGGGGGTGGGCGGGGTGAGAAACGATTTCCTGTCCCACCTGTCTGCGTTCATTGGTTGCTTCTGGTTGGTGCCCTGACTGCAGATCAAACCTGCAACCTTGACGTGTCAAGACGATGCTCTAAACGAGTGGGCTACCTGGCCAGGGCATAAGCTTTTCTTTTCGTTTTTCTTGTTTGCCACAGTGATATCTGTTAACCAAATAGGGCTTTCCAGGCAATGTACCCACTACATGTGTCAGAGATTGAAATTCAAGACAAGGGGAGAAGAAGGCCTAGTGAAAGGTAAGAATGAGTACTGGCGTCTCTCATTACTGGAGGAAAAAACACTGAAATTATTATAACTGTGTAAAAACATTCAATTATATAGATATAAAAAGACTAATAGGAAAGGTACCAAAAAGTTTACAAAGGTTATATTTACATTTAAGCAATGAGTATTTTTTTTTCCTCTCTAAATATCTTTACTTTTCAAATATTCCATGATGCGCAGTATAAGTTTCATTTCTCTTTATAAAACATTTAACTTATTTTTTGGTAAGGGTAATACATGCTTCTTGCAGAAAATTCAGACACATGGAATAGTACAAAGAAGAGCCCCACATCACAGGAAGGACTGCCTGCCCTGAAGGCTCTGAGCACAGCCTGCTTGACCCATATCCCGATTCCTAAGTGGGGTATTTTCTCTACCAAGTTCTGTAATTAGAAAAAATAACTATACCTACTACATACAGGTCTTGTAAGAATTAAATGACTAAATTCACTGCACAGGGCCTGGCATGAAGAATTCTCTTTTTGCCAAGATTTCTTCCACTACTCTTAAGCTTCTGATTACAGAGAAGCAGAACTGACTATCTAACAGAAGCATGGTACATAGCTTGAGATAGAGAAACCTAAAAGTCCTGTTTGTGAGTCACTACCAGAAAGAGGAATAATCAAGAGACTAAGGAACAAGTATAGGGCAACTGGATTCACAGGAAGAGGCTTAATTTCAGAGATGGGTGGATGTGCAAGGAGCAGTCCCTCACAGGCCATGATGGTTGTGAAAGAACTGGAAGTCTGAACAATGAGCAGACACAAAATGGAGCCTGTTGCCAAAAAGAGACCCTTTGGGGGAGTGAAGATATATAGCACCAAAGCTTTAATAAATAGAATTAACTGAATTTCACTTACTCATATTTTATCAGATAAGTCTAAAATTTTTCATTAGAAAAATTTACTTCATTGAATTATTGACCAATACTCACTTTATGTTCAAGACCAGTATGGCTTTTATGAAGTACATATAAATGGTACTTAATTCATATATGAAAATTCAGGAGCATTCCAGGAAGCATCCCAGATTTC